GGTTTTTGGGCGACTCCGTAGAGTGCCAGAGAACACAACACCCATACAATCATCAGGTCAGGGAAGGAAGGCATGGAGCCATGAGTCGATGTGGATTCTACGGTCTGCAGGCAGCTTGCAACGCCACAGCACAGCTTCGTCTCTACAACACGCAAGCACCCGATCCACCGATGGCTGTTGGCGTTGAAAGACGACCGAATTTCGATGCTTCCGAAGTTGCCAGCAGCATAGCATGGAGAACTCCAGCTGTGAGCTCACCACCTGAGCCGCACGCCCCGCAAGCGCGCCCAGGTCACACGCAGTGGCACCGGCCGTACTCACACCCACCCTGCACCAGAATGCTTCCGCGAACAGGCATCCAAAGAGCATGTGATCGGCGGACTCAAGAGCGGCCGGGCAAAGCGGGCAGCCGGCCTCATCCGCCGTGATGATGGTCTTTCTGAGAAGCGTGTCGCGCGTGTGAATACGCTTCTGAACCAGGAGCCAGCAGAAGAACTTCACCCTGGGGGGAACGCAAGCACCCCAGATCATGTCGGCGTAGCCGGCGCGCACGCCCCCGAAGCGCAGGAGCCCGTACACAGCAGCAGACGACAGAGCCCCCTTGGGCGCACGCGCGCGGTTTAGCTGTCGCACGTCTGGACCAGCCCTACTTGGCGAGGCCTCCATCAGAGCCAGCACCGCGTGGAGCTCCCGATGACCCACTCTCGTCAGCCGGGGGACCAGGAAACTAACAATCCCGCGCTGACGCACCTGCCAGACAGTGGCTTCCTCGTCTGTCGTGTGAGAGAGGAGAGCGGGAAAGGTGGCGGCCACCACGCCGCAGGGGAGCCAGCAGTCCCACCAGAACGAGCACGCCCGCCCGTCTCCCACATCCACCGAGGAGATAGAGCGATAGAGGGAGAGCAGCCTCGCCATGGAGTTCTTGTGTTCTCCCAGAGCGATCTCGCTCTGCGACAGGAGCGAGCAACTGAAAGTGCAACTATCCCTAGGTGGTTTTGGTAATTCCTAACAACATATAGCTCATTATGCTAATGCTATTTCAAGATTAATATCTCAGGAAAGCTCAATGATTGGCATGGCATGGATGAGAAAAGTGGACCCCTCAAAATGTTAAGGACAAAGGATTGGCTCAAGCTCAAAGCTCAAGATTCTACATTTTCTATTTTAGTGATCCAAGATCACATTGAGTCTATAGGAAAAGCCAATACTATCAAGGAGGAATGAGGTGCTGCGTAATGAGGTTCTTGCTCAAAATGCTTAGTGATATGCTCCAAAACCCTCAACTACTTTCTCACATCCACATATGACCTAAACCAAAAGTCAAACTCGGCCCCACCGATTCTTTCTATCCGGCGCCACCGAGTTTCAAATGTCTTAGCCACTGCCACAAACCCTAGGCAAATCGGTCTCACCGATAGGGATCTCGGTCTCACCAAGATGGGGTTGTAATCTCTCTGTTTCCCTTCATAACATTTCGGTCTCACCGAGATGAGCGATCGGTCCCACCGAGATTGCAATGTAAACTCTCTATTTTCCCTTCATAACGTTTCGGTCTTATCGAAATGAGCGATCGATCCCACCGAGTTTACCTGACCAACCCTCTGGTTAGCTTATTACCAAAATCGGTCTCACCGAGATTACGTTATGCCCTAACCCTAATCATATCGGTCCTATCGAGTTGCATGCCGGTCCCACCAAAAACCCTAACGGTCACTAGCTTTGCTAAATCGGTCAGACCGATTTTAATCATTCGGTCCAACTGAGTTTGGGAAGTTATGTGTAACGGTTAGATTTTGTGTGGAGGCTATAAATACCCCTCCACCCCCTCTTCATTCATGGAGAGAGTCATTAGAACAAACCTACACTTCCAACCTATATTTTCTGAGAGAGAACCACCTACACTTGTGTGGAGACCAAGATATTCCATTCCTACCATATGAATCTTGATCTCTAGCCTTGGCAAAGTTGCTTTCCACTCAAATCTTCTTTCCACCAAATCCAAATCCTGTGAGAGAGAGTTGAGTGTTGGGGAGACTATCATTTGAAGCACAAGAGCAAGGAGTTCATCATCAACACACCATTTGTTACTCCTTGAAGAGTGGTGTCTCCTAGATGGGCTAGGTGTCACTTGGGAGCCTCCGACAAGATTGTGGAGTTAAACCAAGGAGTTTGTAAGGGGAAGGAGATCGCCTACTTCGTGAAGATCTACCGCTAGTGAGGCAAGTCCTTTGTGGGCGATGGCCATGGTGGGATAGACACGGTTGCTTCTTCGTGGACCCTTCGTGGGTGGAGCCCTCCGTGGACTCGCGCAACCGTTACCCTTCGTGGGTTAAAGTCTCCATCAACGTGGATGTACGATAGCACCACCTAACGGAACCACGACAAAAACATCTGTGTCTTCAATTGAGTTTGAATCCTCCAAACCCTTCCCTTTACATTCTTGCAAGTTACATGCTTTACTTTCCACTGCTCATATACTCTTTGCATGTTTGCTTGAATTGTGTTAAGATTGCTTGACTTGTCCATAGTTGCTAAAATCTTCCAAGAACTAAATTTGGGAAAAGGCTAGATTTTTATTTGGTCAAGTAGTCTAATCACCCCCCTCTAGACATACTTTCGATCCTACAGCAACCATCGGCCCCTTGCCAGATCCAGGCCGCCTAGCGTGACCCGGCCGCCGTGTGAAGCCGGTGCACCATCTTCAGCAGAAGGCTTTTGTTCTGGGTTGCCAGGTCACGCACCCCCAGCCCTCCTTCAGCCTTCGACCTGCACACGCGCTCCCAAGCCACCAGGCATTGTGCGCTGGAGGCACGCTCAGCGACATTCCAAAGAAAGGAACGTCGAAGGCCGTCCAACGCACTAAGAACGGCGGGCGACAGGAGCATGGCCGCCATGGTGTAGGTGGGGAGAGCATCCAGCACCGCATTGATGAGAACCAGGCGTCTAGCAGGAGACAAGAGGCGGGCAGCCCACCCTGCGAGGTACTTGTCTACCTTGGCGATCATGGGCAAGAAATCCGCGTAGTGAAGCTTCTCCCAAGATAGGTGGAGGCCGAGGTGCGTCTGAGGGAATGCCCTGGTGTCGCAACCGAGGATTCCCACCGCCTGAACCCGGGTCTCCTCGTCGACGTGCATCGGGACCACCTTGCTTTTGCTGAAGTTGATAACGAGCCCGGTGGCGGCCGCAAACTGGTCCAGGAGCAGCTTGAGCCGAGCCGCGCCATCCGCACACGCTTGCATGATGATGAGCGTGTCATCCACGTACTGGAGCATGACGGCCGGAGCATCTGGAATGATGGGGTGCCGAAGAACGTCGTCATGGCGAATGAGTCGATGAAGAAAGTCGGCCACCACGAGGAAGAGGTACGAGGAGATGGGATCCCCTTGCCGAAGGCCACATTTGACCTGGAACCAGCGCCCTGGCACTCCGTTGAGCAAGACTGCCGAGCGCGAGGAGTGGAAGAGGGCGTCTATCCAATCGCACCAGAGGGGCGGACAACCTCGCGCCTCCATTATCTTGCGCAGGCTTTCCCAGTTAATGGAGTCGAATGCCTTTGCAAAATCGAGCTTCAACACCAGGGTGGCAGCGCGCCTCCAGTTACAGCATTGCACCAGCTCGGTGGCGTAGATGAAGTTTTCCGAGATGCTGCGCTCTCAAACAAAGCCGGACTGATCCTCGTCAATGAGATGAAAGATCTGTCGCTGGAGTCGCGACGTGAGGCCACGGCACAGGATCTTGATGTCACAATTCTGCAGGGAGACGGGGCGGAAGGATGCCGGGGACGGCACACCGGAGCCTTTCGGGAGCAGCGCGATGAAGGCGCGGTTGATCCCATCTACGCGAGCCGCCCCGGAGTGGAACTCGTCGAATAGGTGATGGAGATCAGCCGCCACGGCCACCCATGCCGCTTTGTAGAAGGCAGGCCCGAGCCCATCGGGGCCGGGAGCGCTGTTGCGGTCGAGGGCCGCCACCGCAGCCTTGATTTCGGCCCGCTCGAAAGGGGCCACCAGCGCCGGCCCATCCACGACGGGGGCACTGGCGTAGAGCGTCACCAGGTCGAAGCGCCAGACGAGGGGTCTGGGCCGGCCCAGCAAGGAGGTGAAGAAGCCCAGCAGCGCTGCGGCCTTCCCTGCATGGCCCGTGACCAGCGTCCCTTCCACTTCCAGCACGCCGATCGCGTTGCAGCGGCGACGATGCGAGGCCGAGGCGTGAAAGAACGTCGTGTTCTCGTCGCCGTCTCATACCGCGCGACACTTTCCGCGTTGGCGCCAGTGCGCGCACTGCCGCAGGACAGAGGCAGCAAGGGCGGCCCTCGCGTCGTGTCGAAGAGAGTCCTCGCTATCTGAGAGAGCTCGGTTCTCCTCAAGGAAATCAAACAGGTCAATCAAGAACCTACAATATTTGCTACAATATTCATGGGGCAATGTTCTTTTGCTACAATATTTTTCCCACCGTTCCGAATGCTCACTGGGTGAGAGGTTCCCGATTGAAATTGGCCGA